GCTCCCCCAGCCTCACACCTCTTTGTAAGGGCAGCATCCATGCACAGCTAGTCCGTAATTTTGGAGGCTGAGCTCGGGGAGAGTTGGTCCAGATCGCAGTGGCAAGAGAGGGGGGATTCACAGGTTACTGGAAATTAAGTGTGCGTGCCACAGACACAGCCTTACGGGAAGGCAGTGCAGAATTTCCTAAGGGAATATCCCGACACACCTGCACTCTTGGCTTTAAGGAAAAAAAAAACTACTAATCCAGGCAAATGCTAGTTTAGAAGTGCTCAGAACAAGTACGAATTTCCGCATCCTCTCTTCACCAAGGCTGGCAACGTCCTCTTCCAACCTCCTCTTTAACCAAGCAGGTCAGAGTCCTGAGGCGAGTTAGACATGGAAGTGCTCCGAAGTCCAAACTACCTGCTCCCCAGGAAACCCGCACGCCTGCAGCCTGCCTTAAGCACTGCAGCCACCTTTAGGGCAGAGATATCTGCTCTCCAGGGCGTGAGGAGGTTAAATCGAGGTACGTTGTCATTAAGACAGGCACATTTATAAGCAGGCCACCTAAAAAAGCCACTGTGGAAGAATTTTTAATCTGTTTAACCCAAAATTTCGTGGGGTGCACCACCTAAAGGGAACCTACACATCTCCACAGCAAACAGAAAAACTTAAACTAATCCATACGAGCATCTGTGGTAGTTTAACTACAGACTGGGGGGCGGGCAGGAAAACTTCCCTCAGCCTCTGATTCCCACTGGTTTCTTCCCTATAGGTGTGGGGCGCAACTGGACCTGAAAAGCCACCTGAGCCCGCTCCTGGTTTTGTCCCTGAAAGCAGTTCTAGCACCCGCTGCTCCTCTTCCGTGCCCACGGGCCCCCAGAGCCATTTGGAAAAGCCTCGGGAGATTCCGAGGGCTCCCCCGCTGCACCTGCGGTACGAGTCTGTCCCGACTCACTCCTCCTACAGCTTTACCCCCCCTGTCCCACCCGTGAGAACGCTGGAGAGCAAAATCGCCGCCGCCATGCACTCGAACAACACAGA